GTTTACCACATTGAACTTCTGTTTTTCGTTTTTTTGAGACAGAGTCTCTCCTTGCCGTCCAGGCTGGAGTGCAGTAGTGTAATCTATGGTCACTGCAACCTCCACCTCCTGGGTTCGAACAATTCTCCTGCCTCAGTCTCCCGAATAACTGGGATTATAAATGTGCACCACCACACCTGGCTAATTTTCGTATTTGTAGAGACAGAGTTTTACCATGTTGGCCAAACTGGTCTCAAACTCTTGGCTTCAAGTGAACCGCCCTCTTCAGCCTCCCAAAGTGCTGGGATTACAGGTCACTGCAACTGGCCTGAACTTCTATTTTATGCTTTCTTAAATCCAATATTTGGAAAGCCCCCAAGTATTTCCCAATTTGATAGGATTCAATCTCCAAATTCAGTCCCCCAGATTTCATTGAGGAGTGGTTTTAGGCTTGGTAACGGAGGGTGTAGAGTAGGTCTTAATCTAGGTTGTAGTCCTTATTCCCAAGGGATGGCCTTTACAGTGTGTCAGCTCAGTGTTCTGGTAACAAGGCCTCTCCTTTGCAGCTAGGCCAGATGTCTCAAGTCCCTACACTCTTCAACCTCCAGTATCTGTTCTGTTCACAACCTGTAGGAGCCATCCTTCGATAAGCTTTGTGAAGTCTCCTTTGAGAAGCTCTTGGCCACGTACACTTGGGCCTCGCTCCCACCCTACTCACAAGCAGCTCCCTTCTCCCTGCCGCTCTGCTTCACAGTGCAGGCTGCTTCAGAACTGAGCTCAGCCTCCTCAGCTCCATAGAAGCACCATGCTCTGCTTGTCCTGTCAGGAAACTGCCCCCATCCACACAGATAATTGAGGTAACCAAGTAGCTCACCTCATGAATTTCTCTTCCCTCAGGGATCACACATTAGGAGGGCTAGTTCCCCTGTCATGGCTGTAATTTAAAGATTCTTAAAAAGATGGTAGCTATGTACAGTTCCATCAGTAGTTTTTAAAACTTCCCATTTATACATGTTCTCATTAGAACAAAGGTTGTCATTCTTTTGACATGGGTGAAAATTTTCATCTTACTATTATTTTATGTTACTTATCTTCTGATGAGGTTAGGCATCTTTCATAAGTTTTTTCCACTGATAACTCATCTTCTGTGGTTTTCTTTAGCTATCTGTTGCCTATTTTCCTAGGGTTGCCTATCTTTATCCTTTTGATCTATAGGCAGTCTTAAGTATACAGTGCCAGAAACATGTTTTTAGTTATACTTGTTTTGAAGATCTTCCAGGCTACTGGGTTTCATTTAAAAAACAGAGGCCTTGTATCAGAGAGAAATGTTTTATGCTCTGATGAAATATAATTATCAATCTTAAAAAATTATTTTGGGGGATTGTCTAATTGCTGCATAATAAAGTACCTAAAAACTTAGGGACTTAAAACAAACAAAAAATATTATTTCAGTTTCTGAGGGTCAGAAATAATAATTTTTCATGATTTTATTTTATTGTATTTTATTTTACTTTTTTAGAGAAGAGGTCTCAACATTTGCCCAGGCTGGCCTCAAACTCCTAGACTCAAGGGATCCTCCTGCCTCAGCCTCCCAAAGTGCTGGGGTTACAGGCATGAGCCACCATGCCAGCTGATTTTTCATTACTTTAAATGGGAAATTTATAATGCATTATACCGTGACTCAAATTCTATAATGTAACTAAAACATAAGCAAAGGTCTATTACAAGTAATAGGCAATCATGTTGTTTGGATGCAAAATGGTTAAAACATCATTATGTGATCACCAAACAATTAATATGATTGGTGATACACATTTGTTTTCCATGCAGTAAAATGGTCTTTCTTAGGGCCAGCAACATTTGAGACTCCGTTACTGACACATGAGGGAGTTTTCTAAACACTCACACTTGATTTTGACATTCCACCACTTGTATTTGAAATGTATCACCTCATCTTTCCTGACTATTATAAATTTAAAATGTAGAATTTTCTTTTGGAAATGTAAATATAAACAGTATTTGAAAAATGTTGTATTGGAAGATATGTGTGGTCTATGTTGTTTGCACATTAAAAACCAGGTGATGCTTCACAGGAAAACATTATATGGGAATACATTTTAAGGGTATGTTTGAATTATAAGACCCTTGTACTACCTAAGAAGTATAAAAGTACCAATTTATATTGGAAGTAATATGTCAGGCATTATTTCTTGGGTGACTCTTTAAAGAAAACAATATATAACATGCAAGATAATAGAGAAAAGTTTTAATTAGTTAAAAATGATATTACCTAGGATAGCATCAAAACCCATCAAATACCCAGAGCTCTGTGCAAATTTCTACACAGGAAACTCTAAATTATTACTAACATAAATTAAAGAGGGCTAAATAACTGGTAAAATGTATCATGTTTATGGACTAGAAGAGTCAATATTGTAAAGATGTCCATTCCTCCAACTGATGTGATGCTATCCCAGTTAAAATCCCAAAAGATTTTTCTACATAAAATTGCAAAGGGCTAAGAATAGCCAATGCACTCCTGAAAGAGAACAATAAGATAGAAGACCTTGCTTTATTTGACATCAAGACTTATTGTAAAGTTAAAATAATTAAGTCAATGTAGTACTGGCAAAATACTAATAGAATGATGAAATAGATCAGTGAGGCTCGGTATGGTGGTTCATACTTGTAATCCCAGTACTTTGGGAGGCCGAGGTGGGAGGATCATTTGAGGCAAGGAGCTCCCGAGATCAGCCAGGACAACATAGCAAGGGCCCATCTCTACAAAAAAATACGAAAATTAGACAGGCATGGTGGTGTGCATCTGTCATCCCAGGTATTCAGGAGGCTGCGGTGGGAAGATTGTTTGAGCTCAGGAGTTAGAGGATGCAGTGAACTATGATGGTATCATTGCACTTCAGCCTGGGCAATACAGCAAGACCTTGTCTTAAAAAGAAAAGAAAAGGAAAAAAGAAATAGATCACTGAGCCCCAAAAGAGACACACATATGTATAAAGACATGATATAGGACAAAGGGGGCAAACAGTTGATAACGGATGATCTTTTCTTCAATGATCCTGAAACAACTGAATATCTATATGAGAAAAAGTAAAACGTGCGCAGTCCTTCACATTATAAGAAAGTAAGTCTAGGTGGATTATATATCTAAATGTGAAAGTCAAAACAATAAAGCTTTTAGAAGTTAATATAGGACAATATCCTCATGATGCTTAGGTGCAAACATTTTCTTAAGTGTGACATAAAAAGCACTAATGATAACAGACAAGGTTGATAAATCATTCCTCATTGAAATAAAGAACCTCTGTTTATTAAAAGATGCCATTAGAAAAGTGAAATGGCAAGCCACAGAGAGACAAAGAATAGTCATAATGAATATAATCAACAGAGAACTTGTATATAGATAATATTAGGAACTCTTACTAATAATATACAAAAATACATCTAAAAATGGGCAAGACAGTTGAGAAAACACTTCAAAAAGAGAATATCTAAATGGCCAGTAAACATATGAAAGAGGTTCAACCTCATTAGCCATTAGGGAAATGCAAATTAAAACCACAGTGAGATACCACTATACACTCACTAAAATGGCTAGAATTAGAAAGACTGACCATAATAAGAGTTGACAGGAATGTGGAATAATGGAACTCTTATACACTGCTGATAGTATTGTGAACTAATGGAACTACTTTGGAAAACAATTTGGCATTATCTACACAAGTTGAACATATGTCCATGTGTGCACCAAGAGACACATACAAGAATGTTTATAGTAGTGTTATTTACTCCAATCTGGAATCAATCCAAGTTTTATTAGTGCTCAAATGTGGATAAATACATTATGGTATAAGTCAATCAACAGAATACAATAAAACAATAAAAATGAATAAAATGCACCTACATTCAATAGTGTGGACAAATATCATAATTATAATGTTAAGTGAAAGAAGCCAGGCACAAAGAAGATAAATTGTTTTAAGTCTATAAAGTTCAAAAAACATGCAAAACTAGCCTATGGTATTTGGACGTATGCTTGCATGGCAAAACTGTAAAAGAAGTGTGGAAGTGAATGCCATAAAATTCTGGGCAGTGGTTACCTTAGTGTGGAGAGTGAGGAGACTGGTATTGAGAAGAAACATGAGAGGGCTTCTGGGTGCTGGCAACATGCCAGATTTGACCTGGGTGGTGGTTACATGGGGGTTCATTTTGTGATAACTCAGTGAGCTTCACTTTTCTGTTTGTCATGTTTCACAATGAAAAAGTTAAAAGCAAATAGAAAATAATACTCCTGTGCTTAAAAGAATGCAGCAGCACTCTGAACAACTTCTAACACCTTCCTGTGGCCTGAATTGCTCCGTCTTTAGCCATGATCTTGTGCCATTCCTTCTTGCATAGGCAATCCTCAAGTCACACTGCCCCTTCTAGAATTCATCCACATTCCAATCCTTCATCAAATCTTTTGGCTCTGCCTTCAAATTATATCCCAAATATGCTTGTTTCTTACCACTTTTACTGCTATCACTCTTGTCTAAGCTAAATATAATTTCATTTACTGAGAGTGGAGAACAAGATTACTGAGGGAGAAGGTGTCAAGGTGTTGGGAGGATCATCTTTGTAATAGTGAAATCACCATGAATTAGGACAGGAGTGAGTATATAGAGAGAGTGAGAGTGAGCCAGGAGTAGTGAAACCCAGGGGACCAAAGATGAGTAGAACCAAGAAAGCTAATAGGTGGCAGAGTCTGAATGACACGATATTCACATCAGGGGGCTTTTGGGAAGCAGGGAGGGACTCTGGTCCAGAAGCAGCAATAAACAACAAAAAGAATGCCTTCCCTATTCCAAGTCCAGTGGAATAACTATTCAATTGAAACATGAAATTTTAAAAACTGAATACAAATAAAATCCTACAAATTATAATCAAGTATAGATAGATACATGACAGATAGATAGATAGATAGATAGATAGATAGATAGATAGATAGATAGATAGATAGTTACCTTTCCTTTGTAATTTTCTGCAAGCATATTGCAAAGTGTTGTTTTCCCTGAATATTGAGGTCCAAATATGAATACTTTACATGGTGGTGCTGGCATAGGTGGAAGCAGATAGGGACGTGGATTCAATACAAATGGTTTTAATGCTTCTTCTGATGAAAGACAGTAGATTTTACCTAGAAAACTTAAAATATGCCATATTAGTAAGCAACTGAAAAGATGTATGAGGAAGTTTTAAAATTAGGTTCTGAAAATCTTACTTACCTCACAGAATAATCCGGTAATCCTGAATAAATGTTACCATCTTTTAAATTCACAGGACATGTACGTCCCCATTTACTTCTCTGCCATCTGTATCTTGCTGCAATAAGTTTATAAGATGCAAGAGTACGAAATAGCTCATCCTGTGAATTGCAAATACTACATTAAAAATAGAAGCATAAATTTTGCTGAAATTAGGAGTATTAAATATTTCATTTATTATTTTATAGTGCTTTACTATTTAATAAATAATTTGAAAAGGAAATTTTGGCTTTTTCTTAATTGCAACATTCTGCACTTGTCCTTGATTTAATAAGACTAGTTTACATTTATGTTAAAATATCTTTAAATTCTACTGAGCAATTTCTGTCATATGGTAAAACAAGCATAAGGTAGAGAGTGCATTTTCTATCATCTTCCTTAGAAAACAGATTCTGAAAAATTCTTATTAAAATTTTTTGAAAATGTACCAGCTTCTTAGCTAATTTACCTTGGCTTTTACGTATGCCTAAGATGTTATGTACAGATTGTTTTTGCATTTACTTAGCTATAAGTGGTTCTTTAATTCTTAAAATGTAAAGTCTCCTTCATTAGCAATCCTTTCTGTTGGCGACCTCCAGATAAGTTAAGAAATACTTTTCTACAGACTGCAAAATTCTGTAGAAAACTGCTAACTCTCAGTTGGGAACATGCTTATTTTATTTTATATTTATGCTTATTTTACCATATGATAGAAAGGTTGCTTGAAAGGTTCATCTGTCCTTGTGGTTCCTTAGCAGGGGATGAGAAAACTGGTGAGAGATGGCATGGTGAATATTATGGTTTGAATGTCCCCTCCGAGACTCAGGTTGAAACTTAATTGCCATTGTGATGGTATTAAGAGGTAGGGCTGTTAAGAGGTGATTAGGTCATGAGTGCTCTGCCCTCATGAATAGATTAATGTCCTTATCTCAAGAGTGGGTAAGTTATTTTGAGGGTGGACTTATTATCAAGGCAAGTTCAGCCCCCTCTTGCCCTGGCTTTTGCACTCTTTTGTTCTTCCACCTTCCACAATGGGAAACCCAGCACAAAGGCCCTCACCAGATGCTGGTGCCATGCACTTGGACTTCCCAGGCTTCAAATAAACTTACTTCTGTGAACCAAATAAACTTATTTTCTTTATAAATTACCTAGTCTGTGGTATTCTGTTATAGCAAAAGAAAATGAAGAGAGTGGGCAATGGCCAGGGGAAATCTGCTCCCCCCAACCCTCAGATGTGGGTCACACATGTATATGCTGGCTTCAGAGCTGACTATGCAATGCAGATGAGATTGTGAGCTATGATTTTCCCTGGACCACTGCAGCATCAGAGAACAAACAGGCATGTGCACTGCAGGGATGCTGCATGAATGTTCCCAAGTGAGAGCTGGAAGTGATGGCAAATATTAAGGAAACTGTCAGTGCTCAGGAGAGTTGCATAAGACCAAGAACCTCATCCATGGAGCACATTAAGCTACAGGCCTTCTCCACAGAGTTCCTGGACAATGAGCTAGGGACTGAAACCATGGCCAGTTAGGTCAGGAGGCAGTCACTCTTTCCTTATCATCCATATTTCCCGCCCATACATGAGAAAAGTATTTGAATAGACCGTATGTATTCTCTAAAAGGTTAAGTATTTGAATAGCAGACCAGACCATGTTCCTCTCTCAACTTCATGCCCGTGAGGCCACATGTTCAGCAGGTGCTGAGGGGAGAGGAGAAGATGAGCTTTTAAATAAATTTGAAGGCCGGGCGCGGTGGCTCAAGCCTGTAATCCCAGCACTTTGGGAGGCCGAGACGGGCGGATCACGAGGTCAGGAGATCGAGACCATCCTGGCTAACATGGTGAAACCCCGTCTCTACTAAAAAATACAAAAAACTAGCCGGGCGAGGTGGCGGGCGCCTGTAGTCCCAGCTACTCGGGAGGCTGAGGCAGGAGAATGGCGTAAACCTGGGAGGCGGAGCTTGCAGTGAGCTGAGATCCGGCCACTGCACCCCAGCCTGGGCGGCAGAGCAAGACTCCGTCTCAAAACAAAATTAAAAAAAAAAATAAAAAATAAATAAAAAAATAAATTTGATATTACAGGCTTCAAAATGGTCAGGACTGGCTTCTGGTTAAACAAAGCAGACTGAAAACATGAATTTATGTTTGCTGCTTTCCTAAAACCTCACTAAAATGACAGTAGAAGAATAAAAAAAAGAAATAAAACTCATGAGGACACAGAGAATGGGAGAAGAGACTAGAGATACTGATCAGGGCTGGTTATAGCTACACAATTTTTTAAGTTAGAAAGCAGATGGATGAGTGGTAACTGACTTATATCAGAGAAAGGTGAAAGAAAGCCAAATATCTGTGGAGCAAAGATAGGTATGGGAGGGGTAGGAACAACAAGGAGCCAGTGGATTCACTTTGCAAAACCCTGGAAAGACATGGGACCTTGTGATACCACGTACCTCTGAAGGGGAATAAATGGAGAGCAGAAAACAGTATAAGTGGAAGTCTTTGAAACAAGGTGCTAGTGCCAGAGCCATTCCCACTCTACTTGGTCCCCTCCCACCACCTCTCTCCCAGTGAGAAGACCAGAAGCATACTTTCTGGAGCGACTTAACCAGAGGAGCATGTGAGGGACCCCAGATACAGCCAAGGTAGTGGAGCAGGGGCAGAAGAAAGCTGGCCACTATAACCACTACCCTCAAGCTCTACTCCTACCCATCCTCTTGCTGAAGAACCTCTGGACCTTTCCATGATCCAGCAACTAAGGGTTAATGCCTGGCAAATGTCTTCAGCACTTCTGCCAGCTCTGCTGTGATTGGGTGAATGCTCGTGCACAGCACAAACTAATTTGCCAGGGCCAGAACAAAATGAAAATTATAGGACCCTTGTTCTACAATTAGTAAGAATTTCAAGACTGCAGCAGCAGAAAATTAAACTAAGCACATGGGCCTGTATGAAGTTCATGAAGCCAGCCCTGCCCCTATGATACAGCTGTTAAAATTTTTTAAATATCACCATTGGTTACAGGCACTTTAAAAGCATAATCTCATGTAATATTTATAATAACACGATGCCATAGGGATTGTTGTCCCTTTTTTAATATATACCATTGAATAAAGGGCAGCAAGGTTAAGCAGAGTCACAGGTCTGATAGGCTGTACTGCTGAATTCAAATCCAGGTCTATGTGACTCGAAAACCAAAACTTCTACTGTGCCAGGTGCCAGTCTGACCCTGTCCTTCCTCCTAGTGCACAAACCCAGGCCCATGTCCCCATCTACCTGCACAGCCCTTCCTCTCCAGCAACTCAGCAGAGGCTACAGTTCTCTCACACTTCACCAGGATGCTGGAGTCTACAGTAAGATCTCTGTGCATTTCCTACCCCTTTAAACCAGTGGTTCTCTTCCCTGGCTGCATACTAGAATCTCCTAGGGAAGATTTTTGGGTTTGCTTTTTGTTTTTATAATTGTGGTAAAATACACATCACATAAAATTTGTTTTTGTAACCACCTTTAAGCATACAATTCAGTGGTATTAAGTATATTCACTGTGTTGTGCAACCACCACCTGTATTCATTTCCAGAACTTTTCCACCATCCTAAACAGAACTCTGTACTCATAAAATAACTCTCCTTCCTCCCTAGCCCCTGGTAACCTCTACCCTACATTCTGTCTCTACGAATTTGTCTATTCTGTGTATCTCATATACGTGGAATCACTTGTTTGCCCTTTTGTATCAGCTTGTTTCACTTAGTATGTTTTCATGGATATTTTATCATATATAAGAATTTTACTCCTCTTTAAGATTGAATAATATTCCATCACACACACACACACACACACACACACACACACACACACACACTCTCCACATTTTGTTTATCAGTTCATCCACTGATGGACATTGGGTTATTTCTACCTTCTGGCTATTGTGAAAAAAGGTGCTAGAAATATTGGTGTACAAGTATCTGTTTGAGTTCTTGGTTTCAATCCTTTGGGGGAAATGCCTAGAAGGGTAATTGCTGGATAGATGAGAATTCTATGTTTAACTTTTTGAGCAACCACCAAACTATTTTAAACAGCAGCTGCACCATTTTACATCCCCACAAACAATGTAAGAGGGTTCTCATTTCTCATCAACATTTTTTATTTCTCATTTTTTGAATAATAGCACCCCAGTGGATATGAGATGGCATCTTATTGTAGTTTTGATCTGCATTTCCTTAATGGCTAGTGATATTGAGCATCTTTTAATGTACTTATTGGCCATTTATATATCTTATTTAGAGAAATGTCTATTCAAATCCTTTGCCCATTTTTGAACCGGATTTTTTTTATTGTTGTGGAGTTGTAGTTGTTCTTTCCATATTCTGCATACTAATCCCTATCAGATATATGATTTTCAAATATTCTTCTCCTTTCTGTGGGTTGTCTTTTTACTCTATTGATTGATGTGTTTTCCTTTTTTTGTAGAGATGGGGTTTCACCATGTTGGCCAGGCTGGTCTCAAACCCCTGGCCTCAAGTGATCTGCCTGCCTCAGCTTCCCATAGTACCGGGATTATAGGCATGAGCCACTGCACCCGGCCTCTACTCATAGTGTTGATGCAGAAAAGTTTCTTGGTATTTTTTCTTTTGTAGTCTGTGCCTTTGATGTCATATCCTATTTTGTTGTTTCACTTAATGACAGAGCCTTACCTTAGAAATTCTGTTTTAACTGGCCTCGGAGTCGTTATGTTTAAAAAGCTTCCTAGATGACCCCATTTTGCAGTCAGGGCTGGGAATCACTGCTTTAAATATTCCTACTATATTGATTCTCTAAAAATCACATGCCTTTAGCTGAAGATTATTCATCTAAAGTCCTTTAAAAACATAGGAACTTGTAGATCAATCAACTTTAATTAACCAGGCTCCTCTGGTGTCTCAAGAATTAAAGTAGGGGTTCTCAGACTTAAGTGGGTATTGTTCTAGATTTTGTAAAAATACATTTTCAGGTTCCATCTCCAGACAGTCCGGTTCAATCAGCCTGGGATTCGGGCCTCAGGATTTGTATTTGTAGTAAGCTTCCCAGGTGATTCTTTTGAGGTGGGCTTGACTGCCAGGTAGAAATGCTACTTAAGGGATATGAATAATGACTCCAGCGTACACAGCCATATCTTCGTCCCTTTTATGAAAAAGGAGGCAGGTCCACCTAGTTAGTCATACAGCTTATGAACTACAACCTTACACCTATGCCCCATGCATGCAATGCTTTCTAAGGACAAACTTTCTGGCCAGAAATTTCGTGCAGGTTTTATAGATACTTTTTCTCTTTCCTTCAGTGACGATCTAGATCAGGAGGCCTCAGTACCCAGTTTATTTTTCCCAGCCTCTGTTCTGACCAAGCTCACTTTTCTTCCTCTTCAGCACCAGTTCATATTGCAGAGGTCCCAGCTTGTATTCCAGTTATGTGGACCCACTGAGATCTTGTTATGATACGGGATAACAGAATGACCTCTTTCTTCAAAGATTTTAAAATTTGAATTATATCCATTTATGATCATGGCATATGTTTTGGTTTTTATTTTATTTTTATTTTTGAGACAGGGTCTTGCCCTATCACGTAGACTGGAGTGCAGTGGCACAATCATGGTTCACTGCAGCCTTAACCTCTAGGCTCAGTTGATCCCCCCACCTCAGCCTCTCAAATAGCTGGGATTATAGGCATGTGCTATCATGCCTGGCTAATTATTTTTTATTTTTTATTATACTTTAAGTTTTAGGGTACATGTGCACAACATGCAGGTTTATTACACATGTATACATGTGCCATGGTGGTTTGATGCACCCATCAACTAGTCATTTACATTAGGTATTTCTCCTAATGCTATCCCTCCTCCAGCCCCACACCCCATGACAGGCCCCGGTGTGTGCCCTGGGTCTAAGTGTTCTCATTGTTCAATTCCCATCTATGAGTGAGAACATGAGGTGTTTGTTTTCTGTCCTTGCCATAGTTTGCTCAGAATGATGGTTTCCAGCTGCATCCATGTCCCTACAAAGGACATGAACTCATCCTTTTTTATGGCTGCATAGTATTCCATGGTGTATATGTGCCACATTTTCTTAATCTGGTCTATCATTGATGGACATTTGGGTTGGTTCCAAGTCTTTGCTGTTGTGAATAGTGCCACAATAAACATACGTGTGCATGTGTCTTTACAGCAGCCTAATTTATAATCCTTTGGGTATATACCCAGTAATGGGATTGCTGGGTCAAACGTACTTCTAGTTCTAGATCCTTGAGGAATTGCCACACTGTCTTCCACAATGGTTGAACTAGTTTACACTCCCACCAACAGTGTAAAACTGTTCCTATTTCTCCACATCCTCTCCAACACCTCTTGTTTCCTGACTTTTTAATGATTGCCATTTTAACTGGTGTGGTATCTCATTGTGGTTTTGATTTGCATTTCTCTGATGACCAGTGATGATGAGCATTTTTTCATGTATCTGTTGGCTGCAAAAATGTCTTCTTTTGAGAAGTGTCTGTTCATCTCCTTTGCCCACTTTTTAATGGGGTTGTTTTTTTCTTGTAAATTTGTTTAAGTTCTTTGTAGATTCTGGATATTAGCCCTTTGTCAGATGTGAAGATTGCAATACTTTTCTCCCATTCTGTAGGTTACCTGTTCACTCTGATGGTAGTTTCTTCTGCTGTGCAGAAGCTCTTTTATTACATCCCATTTGTCTCTTTTGGTTTGTGTTGCCACTGCTTTTGGTGTTTTAGTCGTGAAGTCCTTGCCCTTGCCTATGTCCTGAATGGTATTGCCTAGGTTTGCTTCTAGGGTTTTTATGGTTTTAGGTCTAACATGTAAGTCTGCAATCCATCTTGAATTAATTTTTGTATAAGGTGTAAGGAAGGGATCCAGTTTAAGCTTTCTACATATGGCTAGCCAGTCTTCCCAGCACCATTTATTAAATAGGGAATCCTTTCCCCATTTCTTGTTTTTGTCAGGTTTGTCAAAGATCAGATGGTTGTAGATGTGTGGTGTTATTTCTGAGGCCTCTGTTCTGATCCATTGGTCTATATCTCTGTTTGGGTACCAGTACCATGCTGTTTTGGTTACTGTGTCCTTGTAGTATCGTTTGAAGTCAGGTAGCGTGATGTCTCCAGCTTTGTTCTTTTTGCTTAGGATTGCCTTGGCAATGCGGGCTCTTCTTTGGTTCCATATGAACCAAAACTGTGTTGCCTCATAATTCAATGTCAGACTGCTGCGCTAGCAGTGAGCAAGGCTCCATAGGCATGGGACCTGCTGAGATAGGCGCGGAATAGTAACTCCTGGTCTGCCGTTTGCTAAGACTGTTGGAAAAGCACAGTATTTCCCCGGGGAGTGTCCCGTTTTTCCCAGGTACAGTCTGTCACAGCTTCCCTTGGCTAGGAAAGGGAAATCCCCTGACCCTTGTGCTTCCCGGGTGAAGCGACACCCTGCCCTGCTTCGGCTCACCCTCTGTGGGCTGCACCTGCTGTCTAACCAGTCCCAGTGAGATGAACCAGGTACCTCAGTTGGAAATGCAGAAATCACCCGTCTTCTGCGTCCATCCCGCTGGGAGCTGCAGACTGGAGCTGTTCCTATTCGGCCATCTTGGAACCCCGCCCCAAGTTTTTTTTAATTTTTTGTAGGACCAGAGTCTTGCTATGTCCCAGGCTGGTCTCAAACTCCTGGGCTCAAGCGATCCTTCCATTTCAGCCTCCCAAAGTGCTGGCATTATAGGCATGAGCCATTGTGCCCAGCCCTGGTATCCGTTTTTTAAAAATAATTTCTACTCATATAGGTGAAACTGAACTTCTCAGAATAGATCAAATCCTCCAATTAAAACTCCCTGTGGCACTTTTGGCAATTGGCAAAATGTGCTACATACGTAGCACATCAGTGTCAGGAACACATTAGTTACTTAAAAAAATTTGGTTGAATGATTAAAGAAATAGAGTTAAGAACTTTTATGTCTTCACATTCTTTGGTGCTGCAAACTTTTAAACTGAACTTGGAGTTCTTTCTTTTTCATTGTTCCTATGTTTAATCGTTATGATTTTCTTTGTTTCAAAATTTGTGTTGTGTCTAATGTCTAAAAGGATATTGTGCTAATATTATAGCTTCTTCCCAGAAATCAAATCCATTTTTATAAAAGAATACAAATTAAGGCCACAACATACATATATATGAATAAATATACATATATATTTATATATGAATATATATGAATAAATATATATTTATGTATATATGAATATATGAATAAATATATATTTACATAGATGAATATATTTACATAGATGAATAAATATTTATGAATACATATATGAATATATATTTTATATATATATATTTTTTGAGATAGTATCTGGCTCTGGTGCTCAGGCTGGAGTGCAATGGCATGATCATGGCTCACTGTAGCCTTAACCTCCTGGGCTCAAGCAATCCTCCCATCTTAGCTCCTGGGTAGCTGAGACTACAGGTGCATACCACCACACCTGGCTAATCTTTTCTTTTCTTTCTTTTCTTTTTCTTTCTTTCTTTCTTTCTTTCTTTCTTTCTTTCTTTCTTTCTTTCTTTTTTTTTTTTAAGGATGGTTGCTCACTAGGTTGTCCAGGCTGGTCTCAGACTCCTGGGCTCCAGCGATCCTCCCATGGGATTACAGGTGTGAGCCATTGCACCCTGCCCACAACATACATTGAAAACTAGACTTTCAAACAGTTCCATATAACTTACATTTTCCATTGTGTCATTAATTTCTTCCTCTGCACCCTGAAGTTTGGTTATAACAGCTGCTCTTTTTAGGTTCAGATATTTAAGTCGACTCATAACAATCTAGATTTAAAGAATAGATATTTAACTACATTGGCATCTGAATATCTCAAATATTCTGAAACAGTGATGGGCTTATGAGTCAAGCCCATGCTCCCCCTGACTCTGGGTTGAATCTTTGCTTGCTTCATCTGGCCTCTGGCTGTTTGCTGACAATCCTTGGCATGTCTTGGCTTGTATATGCATCACTCCAATCTCTGCCTCTGTTGTCACAGAGCCATCTTCTCCCTGTGTGTCTGAGTCTCTTCTCCTAATCTATAGGCAAAGACCTTATTTCCAAATAAGGTCACATTCACAGGTATTGGACTTCAGGGTTTCAACATATGTTTTTGAGGGACACATTTCAACTGATAACAGTCTGCCCTCTGGTCCCCAGATATTCATGTTCTTAGAGGTCTTGGTATCTGGGACCTCTTCAGGCAAAGGGATGATTGCCATATGAAGATGGAGGCAGATATTGGAGTTATGCTGCCATAAGTCAAGAAATGCTGGTAGCTACCAGAAGCTGGAAGAAACAAAAATAGAGTCTCCCCAAGAGCCTTTGGAAGGAGCATGGCACTGCCAACACTTTGATTTTGGACTTTTAGCCTCCAGAACTGTGAGAGAATACATTTCTGTCGTTTTAAGCCACCAGTTTGTGGTACTTTGGTATGGCAACCCCAGGAAATTAATGCAGACACTACGTGGAAGAATCTGGAAAAATAAAAGAGGCCAGCACATAGATCATGAGATGGGAGATAGTGAGATAGCCCAAATTCTGATGGTGTGTGGTAGCCTGTGATAGATTGTGTTACAATGCAACCTTCACTGGTTAATTCCCTAATTCATTCTGGGTGGAGTACACTTCCTTATTCCACTAATGGCGAGCTTCTCCATGTAGCCTGCTCTGCCAATGGAACATGGGTGGAAGTGCAGAGTACCAGCTCCCATGGGAGCCTTCACAAGCTTGGCAAGTTCCAGTCAGACGCCTTGGAGCTTCTGCCCTCTACCTTGAGGAAAGTGTGTCCCAGGTAGTAAAAAGTGGTAGAATTCTGGCCATATTTTGAAGGAGAAGCCTGCTGTATATGCTGGTGAATGGGATGTGGGATGTGAGAAAAAAAAGTCAAGGAAAGCAACTGGCTGGGTGGTTTTTGCATTTACTGAAAAAGGAGAATGGTGGGAGAAGCACATTGGGGGTAGGGTGGTGGTGGTGAAGTTCTATTTTGCACACTTAAATCCAAAATGACTAGTAGACATCCAATTGGAAAAACAGCAGTTGAGCAGCCATTAAGTATACAAGTGTGGAATTCAGGGGAAAGATCTGATATAGTATCATGAATTTAAGAGATGTCAGTGGTGAGATGATATCTAAAGCTACCGACTGAATGAAGTCTCTTAACAAGTGAGGGTAAACAGAGAAGAGCTCACGCCTTGTGAATTCTGGGGTCCTGCAACACTGCAGGTTAGAGAATTGGAGTGTGCAGTGAGGTGTAATGGAAATATTGTGGTGTGGGGCCCAAGAAGCCAAGGAAAGAAGGGTGCAGAAAAAAAGACGTGATCTGTTGTGTCAAATGCTGCTTCTATTAAAGATTGAATTAGATGAAGACTGAAAAATGAGCAGTAGCTTTGGTCATGAGATCACAGGTGATCTTGGCAAGAGCATGTCTCAAGTGAGGAGCTTCTCCCTGAGCTGGCTCCACCACTAGCATGCACTGTTACCGTGTTGCCACCAATCGGATCAAGCCAGAAATCTGGGCATTATCTTTGACTTTTCTCTCTCCCTTAATTCCCATATTAAGTTGTTCATCAAGTCCTGTCAAGTAGATTTCTTAAATGTCTCTCAGATCTGTCCTTTTCTGTCCATTCCTGTGGTCACTACCCTAGGTTAGGCCACTATCTCATACCTGATTGATGGCAAAAGCCAAAACTAGTTTTCCTACCACCGATTTGATTCTCCTTTTGGTTTATCCTCACGTGGAATGGAGTGATCTTTCTCAAACAGAAATAAGATCATTTGTACTTTATGGCTTAAAACCTTTTCCTGGCTGCCTATTCCCTCATGTTGAGGTCTGAACTCCTAACTACAGTTTACAAGGTCTTTCTTGGTGCAATCCCTTCTAATTTCTAGTCGTGGCTCTATTCTACCCCTCCTACCCAATCCGCCTATGTTCCAGTCCTACATGAGTTCTTGCAACTCACTATGCTCTTTCTGGCCTCTGGGGCCTTCACACAGACTCTTCCCTCAGCATAGAACACTGTCCCACTTCCCTCACCTACCCTTGTCTTCAAGGTCTAGTTCTTACTAGTCTTTTACGTTTCTATTTAAACATAGTTTCAGACTGGTGGTCCTCCTTACTAGACTAGGTTTTGTCTTTATGCCATGAACTCCTATAATACCATGCATGTGTATCCCCGACTGTAACAAAACTGCTCTCTAGAGATTTATTTTCCCCAACATATTGGATACTGCATGAGCAGAGAGACGTGTGAACCCTTCTGCCTCCTTCCTATCTTTATCCCTAGAGCCCATTATAATGCCAGACACTTATTTGACATTTAAGAAATAATGACTACATTTTTGTATTATTGAATTATTTTTGTAAAACATTTTTGGGTTCCAATTTCTCTGCATCCTCACCAACACTTTTTATTTTCTGTTTTGTGTTTGTTTGTTGGTTTTTACTTTGGTCATCCTAGAAGGTAAAAGGGGTTCCCCATTATGGTTTTGACCTGCCTTTCCCTAATGACTAATGATGTTCAGCATCTTCTCGTGTGCTTTTGGTTACCATTGCTTTTACTTTTCTGTGAGGCACCTTTTTTTTTTTTTTTTTTGAGACGGAGTCTAGCTCTGTTGCCCAGGCTGGAGTGCAATGGCCGGATCTCAGCTCACTGCAAGCCCCGCCTCCCGGGTTCACGCCATTCTCCTGTGTGAGGCACCTTTTGACAGAGATTTTAAATTCAAATGTAGTTTTGATTTTTAAATGGACAGATGAATAAACAGAACATCAAAATTTTAAGTGTCAAGACAAATTGTTCAAAGATAAATGGTGCTTAAATATAAACATACTTCTGTTTACTACAAGAAGTATAATACTGTCAATAGCTTTTAAATTTTCCACACTGTGAAGCATTCCTGCTGAACACTGCACTCACCATAAAGAGCTCCTCTGGTGGTCTATTTCCATTTAGCTCAATGAGATACTGGGGATTGTGTTCAGCCATTACTTCCTGCAGTTAATAGAAAAGAAACTTTACAATACAGGATCACTGGAAAAATGGAATACAAGATCAGAATCTTAATACACTATGCAGAAATATTTAAAGTAAATTGTTTGCCTTATAAATGTTATAATGTATGTTATTTTCAATGCTCAAGAGATCTTTTGAAAAAGCTCAGAGTAATCTTCTCTCCATGAATTTTATTTTCCTGTTAAAAAAATCTTTTTTCTCTACATTGATGCCTTAATGTTTTTTCCAATACAAAATGTTTTGGGGCATCTATCTGCATATGTTCATAGCTTTGCTATTTGGTTTCCAAACCATGGAAGCATCTGATTAAAATTTAAGTCACAGACTTTCTTCACATAGATACTAGCATCATTTAGAAGACACAACGTATTTTGATCATTCCAAGATGGCCGAATAGGAACAGCTCCAGTCTATAGCTCCCAGCATGATCGATGCAGAAGACGGGTGATTTCTGCATTTCCAACTGAGGTAACTGGTTCCTCTCATTGGGACTGGTTGGACAGTGGGTGCAGCCCACAGAGGGTGAGCCGAAGCAGGGCAGGGAATCACCTTACCCTGGAAGTGCAAGGGGTCAGGGAATTTCCCTTTCCTAGCCAAAGGAAGCTGTTTCCAAGGGTACCTGGAAAATAGGGACACTCCTGCCCTAATACTATGCTTTTCCAACAGTCTTAGCAAATAGCATACCAGGAGATTACATCTCACGCCTGGCTCAGTGGGTCCCATGCCCATGGAGCCTTGCTCACTACTAGTGCAGCAGTCGAAGATCAAACTGCGACGCAGCAGCCAGGCTGGGGGAGGGGCATCTGCCATTGCTGAGGCTTGACTAGGTAAACAAAGCAGCCAGGAAGCTTGAACTGGGTGGAGCCCACCGCAGCTCAAGGAGGCCTGCCTGCCTCTGTAAACTCCACCTCTGAGGGCAGGGCATAGCTGAACAAAAGGCAGCAGAAACTTCTGCAGACTTAAACGTCCCTGTCTGACAGCTTTGAAGAGAGCAGTGGTTCTCCCAGCACAGAGTTTGAGCTCTGAGAACGAACAGACTGCCTTCTCAAGTGGGTCCCTGACCCCCGAATAGCCTAACTTGGAGACACCTCCCAGTAGGGGCCGACTGACACCTCATACAGCCAGGTGCTCCTCTGAGACAAAGCTTCCAGAGGAAGGATCAGGCAGCAACGTTTGGTGTTCTGCAATATTTGCTGTTCTGCAGCCTCCACTGGTGATACTCAGGCAAATAGGGTATGGAATGGACCTCCAGCAAACTCCAACAGACCTGCAGCTGAGGATCCTGACTGTTAGAAGGAAAACTAACAAAGAGAAAGGAGTAGCATCAACATCAACAGAAAGGACATCCACACCAAAACCCCATCTGTATGTCACCATCATCAAAGACCAAAGGTAGATAAAACCACAAAGATGGGGAGAAACCAGAGAAGAAAAGCTGAAAATTCTAAAAACCAGAGCACCTCTTCTCCAGAGGACTGCAGCTCCTCACCAGCAACGGAACAAAGCTGGACGGAGAATGACTTTGACGAGTTGACAGAAGTAGGCTTCAGAAGGTCGTTAATAACAAACTTCTCCAAGCTAAAGGAGGATGTTCGAACCCATTGCAAAGAGGCTAAAAACCTTGAAAAAAGATTAGATGAATGGCTAACTAGAATAAACAGCATAGAGAAGACCTTAAATGACCTGATGGAGCTGAAAACCATGGCACGAGAACTACATGACGCATGCACAAGCTTCATTAGCCGATTTAGTCAAGTGGAAGAAAGGGTATCAGTGATTGAAGATCAAATGAATGAAATGAAGCAAGAAGAGAAGTTTAGGGGAAAAAAAGAATAAAAAGAAATCACCAAAGCCTCCAAGAAATATGGGACTATGTAAAAAGACCAAATCTAAGTTTGACTGGTATACCTGAAAGTGACAGGGTGAATGGAACCAAGTTGGAAAACACTCTTCAGGATATTATCCAGGAGAACTTCCCCAACCTAGCAAGGCAGGCTAACATTCAAATTCAGGAAATACAGAGAATGCCACAAAGATACTCCTCGAGAAGAGCAACCCCAAGATACATAATTGTCAGATTCACCAAGGTTGAAATGAAGGAAAAAAATGTTAAGGGCAGCCAGAGAGAAATGTTGGGTTACCCACAAAGGGAAGCCCATCGGACTAACAGCAGATCTCTCAGCAGAAACTCTAAAAGCCAGAAGAGAGTGGGGGCCAATATTCAACATTCTTAAAGAAAATAATTTTCAGCCCAGAATTTCATATCCAGCCAAACTAAGCTTCATAAGTGAAGGAGAAATAAAATCCTTTACAGACAAGCAAATGCTGAGAGATTTTGTCACCACCAGGCCTGCCTTACAAGAGACCCTGAAGGAAGCACTAAACATGGAAAGGAACAACCAGTACCAGCCATTGCAAAAACATGCCAAAATGTAAGGACCATCGAGGCTAGGAAGAAACTGCATCAACTAACGAGCAAAATAACCAGCTAACATCATAATGACAGGATCAAGTTCACACATAACAATATTAACTTTAAATGTAAATGGGCTAAATGCCCCAATTAAAAGAACACAGACTGGCAAACTGGATAAAGAGTCAAGACCCATCAGTGTCCTGTATTCAGGAGACCCATCTCACGTGCAGAGACAGACATAGGCTCAAAATAAAGGTATGGAGGAAGATCTACCAAGCAAATGGAAAACAACAACAACAAAATAGCAGGGATTGCAATCCTAGTCTCTAATAAAACAGACTTTAAACCAACAAAGATCAAAAGAGACAAAGAAGGCCATTACATAATGGTAAAGGGATCAATTCAACAAGAAGAGCTAACTATCCTAAATATATATGCACCCAATACAGGAGCACCCAGATTCATAAAGCAAGTCCTTAGAGACCTACAAAGAGACTTAGATTCCCACACAATAATAATGGGAGACTTTAACACCCCACTGTCAACATTAGACAGATCAATGAGACAGAAGGTTAACAAGGATATCCAGAACTTGAACTCAGCTCTGCACCAAGTGGACCTAATAGACATCTACAGAACTCTTCACCCCAAATCAACAGAATATACATTCTTCTCAGCACCACATCGCACTTATTCCAAACTTGACCACATAGTTGGAAGTAAAGCACTCCTCAGCGAATGTAAAAGAACAGAAATCACAGCAAACTGTCTCTCAGACCACAGTGCAATCAAATTAGAACTCAGGATTAAGAAACTCACTCAAAACCACACAACTACATGGAAACTGAACAACCTGCTTCTGAATGACTACTGGGTAAATAACGAAATGAAGGCAGAAATAAAGCTGTTCTTTGAAACTAATGAGAACAAAGACACAACATACCAGAATCTCTGGGACACATTTAAAGCAGTGTGTAGAGGGAAATTTATAGCACTAAACGCCCACAAGATAAAGCAGGAAATACCTAAAATTGACACCCTAACATCACAATAAAAAGAACTAGAGAAGCAATAGCAAACAAATTCAAAAGCTAGCAGAAGGCAAAAAATAACTAAGATCAGAGCAGAACTGAAAGAGAGAGAGATACAAAAAACTCTTGAAAAAAAAAATCAGTGAATCCAGGAGCTGGTTTTTAGAAAAGATCAACAAAACAGATAGTCTGCTAGCCAGACTAATAAAGAATAAAAGAGAGAAGAATCAAATAGATGCAATAAAAAATGATAAAGGGCACATCACCACCGATCCCACAGAAATACAAACTACCATCAGAGAATACTATAAACACCTCTACGCAGATAAGCTAGAAAATTTAGAAGAAATGGATACATTCCTGGACACATACACCCTCCCAAGACTAAACCAGGAAGAAGTTGAATTTCTGAATAGACCAATAACAGACTCTGAAATTGAGGCAATAATTAATAGCCTACCAACCAAAAAAAGTCCAGGACCAGACGGATTCACAGCCAAATTCTACCAAAGGTACAAAGAGGAGCTGGTACCATTCCTTCTGAAACTATTCCAATGAATAGAAAAAGAGGGAATCCTCCTTAACTCATTTTATAAGGCCAGCATCATCCTGATACCAAAGCCTGGCAGAGACACAACAAAAAAAGAGAAGTTTAGACCAATATCCTTGATGAACATCGATGCAAAAATCCTCAATAAAATACTGGCAAACCGAATCCAGCAGCATATGAAAAAGGCTATCCACCATGATTAAGTTGGCTTCATCCGTGGGATGCAAGGCTGGTTCAACATACGCAAATCAATAAATGTAATCCATCACATAAACAGAACCAAAGACAAAAAATCACATGATTATCTCAATAGATGCAGAAAAGGCCTTCAACAAAATACAACAGTCCTTCAGGCTAAAAACTCTCAATAAACGAGGTATTGATGGAATGTATCTCAAAATAATAAGAGCTATTTATGACAAACCCATAGCCAATATACTGAATGGGCAAAAACTGGAAGCATTCCTTTTGAAAACTGGCACAAGACAAGAATACTCTCTCTCACCACTCCTATTCAACATAGTGTTGGAAGTTCTGGCCAGGGCAATCAGGCAGGAGAAAGAAATAAAGGGTATTCAATTAGGAAAAGAGGAAGTAAAATTGTCCCTGTTTGCAGATGACATGATTGTATATTTAGAAAATCCCATCATCTCAGTGCAAAATCTCCTTAAGCTGATAAGCAACTTCAGCAAAGCCTCAGGATTCAAAATCAAGGTGCAAAACCCACAAGCATTCCTATACACCAATAACAGACAAACAGAGAGCCAAATCATGAGTGAACTCCCATTCACAATTGCTTCAAAGAGAATAAAATACTTAGAAATCCAATTTACAAGGGATGTGAAGGACCTCTTCAAGGAGAACTAAAAACCACTGCTCAACGAAATAAAAGAGGACACAAACAAATGGAAGAACATTCCATGCTTATGGATAGAAAGAATCAATATCGTGAAAATGGCCATACTGCCCAAGGTAGTTTATG